GTTGCAACCACTACAGGACCTTGGTTGCAACAATGATCTAGACGGTCCCAGTTTATGTCAATAACGTCACAGCACCTATCCCCCCCGTCCCGATTTTTCACCCTTGCTATCTAGGCAACCTAGTTGCATGTAACACTGCCCTGGGGACTTGAACATGGGACCTGCCGTACTAAATGCATCAGCTCCTTGAGCGGAAGCACCAGGCCTTTAGTAACAGCCTCCTAGCCCCAGGGTTTAGGTGTGGAAGGTGAGACCTCGCAGCCACGCTGCCCAGTAGGTCAGACAGGGCACTGGACAACCAAGATCGCTGTGCCTAGAGGTGGTGCGTGCAGCTTAGCTCTCCTGCCCCAGTCGCTGGGGGGTTTAAACAAGGGCCTTGCTGTCAGAAGCAACGCTGCGTCTTGTGGTTTTCGTGAGGCCTCGGGCACCAGGAGTCATGGGAATATGGAAAGGGGCGGAAGGAATCTACTCCCCTTGCCAGCGAGCAGCTGAACAGGTCCAACAAGCGCTCAGACATGACGGGGTTCGTGTGGCTCACGTGCCTGGAACGATGCCCAGCGTTGATTAGATTCCTGTGGGGTTTCACTGGAACCTGTTATGACTGGGGGCTTGGAGCCATGGGGCCCCTGGTGTTGGCTGCGGTCAGGCCGGCTGGGAGCGAGGCCACACGGGGCTTAGCTCGGGAGATGGGGTTTTTCGTGGCGAACGCTCCCGGGGAAACCCCATGTGCTCTCCAGCTGGCGTGAAAAATCCAGGCTGAAACTGCAGCAAATTCAGCGGGGATTGGGGTCCTGCGTGGGAGCAGCCAGCCGTGCACTCAGTCAGGCCAGACGGAGGGTGGCCGAAGCCCAGGGGTGACTGGCAGGGGGCGCTGTGGGTTGGCATTGAGGGGCATTAGCAGAGCTGGGGGAGCCCAGGGCTGGCTTGTACATTCGAGGGCTGGGTGGGGGAGCACCCTGATTTGAGCTAGGTGGGTGTGGAACGGGCACCGAACGTGGCTGACGGGTGTGATGAGTGCCTGGATATGGGGGTCCACTGTAAACACGACACGGAGCTGGGGCGGGATGGACAGCGCCAGCCCTGGGAGCACGGCCCAGCCCAGCCCTGGCCTTCCCAAGCTGCCCCAGGGGAAGCGGAGCCCTGCAGGTGCCAGCCGGGTCCCAGCTCGCTGATCTGCTGAGCCAGCCCTTGGCAGCACCCGTGACCCGCTGCCGCCCTCCTGGGAAACAGCGGCTCTGTAAGGGGAAGACCCTGAAGGTGGCTGGGGGTGGAAATCAAGGGGGTTACACCAGGGGGCAGTTTGGTTCTGAGAATTGCTCCTTTCCAGCTGCCCCCCACCCCCCGAGATGTAGGTGCCCATAACTTCCACCAGGGGCTGAGCGTAACCACTCACATCCCCCAGAGACAGGGGCCTGCTGCCAAGGACCTGTGGGCATGAAGGCTTGCCCCCGTGTGTGAACAGCTGTGTGTGACTGAATGTGTGTCCACAGGTGCACGGATGGATCCCCGTGCGTAGGAATTGGGGGGTGGATCTGAGCCTCACCCTGCCAGCAGCAGACCCGGCTGTTTGCATGCCAGCCTCGTGCCTTGGACTTAATGCCCCATCTGCCCCAGCCAGCTCCTGATGGGCCCGTGCCAGCAGCACTCCCAACGCTGCAGCGGGCATGGCCCCTTGCTGTGCCCAGCTCTCAGCCCTTCCCATGCATGAGCATCCAATTGATGATGGCGTGGAAAGAGTCAGCACGTGACTGGTGGGGGAGGGCAGGTTGCAGGGCGAGCCCCATCTGGGCTGGGCAGAACTAGTTGGGGGGGGGTCATCCGCCTAGGGGGACTTGCTCTGAACCCCTACCCCCCACATGCACAACCCACCACCCTCCCAGTCCCACCAGCTTTCAGACACTGCGGGGAGAGTAGGGAGCAACTGCCCCACGGGGTAAGTTATTCCAGTACTGTCCACTAGGGGGGCTTCGTACCCCTTCTTCTGAGCCAGCCCGTCCCACTGAACTCAATGGGCAGCTGTGGCCTGATGCCCTTGACGCTGGTGAAGCTAGACTCCGGGTCTGGGCCAGCCCAGCAGCACCTACCATTGCTGGAGGGCATCTTTGCCCTGACCCTGCTAGCCCCGTCCTCCCTCAGCCTGGGAGGCCAGGAGCAGAGGAGAGCTCTGCACACCTGAGCCGTCTTTTGCTGCACCTGGCCTTTGGACCACTGCAATGAGCCCCACGCCCCATAGCAAGGGGCCCCCGCTGTGCTGGATGGCACCTTCTTCCTGAACTCTCCAGCTCTCTGGTAGCGATTCCAGAAGTGGTGGGGCCTGGTCAGCATTTCTGAAAAGCGGGAGCCGTTTAACTGCCCCTCTAATGCGCCCACCTCGGGGGTGCAACGCATCAGCCCTTGAAACAGCCACTCAACAACGGGTTCCAGCTGCTTGCCTGGGGAGTGGGGCTGGGGGAGTTAGGAGGTGGATCCTTAGAACCAAGTTGCCAAGAGAGCCTGACAGTTAATTGGAAGAGATTTCCACCCAGGGAGCAAATCGGAGCTATTAATCACGCAGGAAGTGTATTATGCCAAGACAGGCAGCATGGGCTAGCGAGCAGGGCACTGGAATGGCAGTGGGAGACCTGGAGTCTAGTCCCGGCTCTGCCGCTGATGATTTTGGACAAGTTGCTTCCTCCTGCCACGTCTGTGCCTCAGTTTCCCCTCCCACCTCTTACTAACAGCGCCCGGCCCAAAGGGGCCCTGATCTCAGCTGGGAATGCTAAGTGCTACCTTGTAATTTTACAGCACAGGTTTCAGTGGTTTTTGCCTGGAATCCAACCCAACCCCCTTTCCCATCCAACACCTTCATCCCCCAAATGCACCAAACTCAGGAAGGGTGTTTGTTTGTTTTTTTAAAAAAAGAGTCATATTTATTCACCAGGGAATAATAAATACCACTTAAATATCAAAGCACCAGCAACAGCTGCAGCCGAACAGTTCCGCGACGGCAGGCAAGACACATTCACGCTGCAGCTGCCTTAAATACAAAGAGCCTCGCGGCTGGCTTGGGAAAAAAACCCACACTCAGCTTCAGACGTTGCTGGGTCCCAAGAACCATGAATAAGTTACAGGCAATAAATATAAATAGGGACACAGTCCTTCCAAGGGGAGTGCTTAAAGTGATTATTAACAATCACAAACCTTAGCACGTCTATGCACATTCCTTTCAACTCTTTGCAGGACCCCAAGAATTGATCCTCTGCAGGTGTCGATCAGCAAAGCCAGGCTCATTTACATCCGGGGGGGAGGCAGACCCGAGTCACTGATCAGCATCAGAACCATCCCCCAAAGGCCAACTGGATCCAGATTTGCTCCTTCCCGTGACATGCCCAGACTGTGCCAGAGCGGGCCGTGACGGGGTTCTGTGGCTGCCCTGGGGATTCGAACCAGAGGAGGCAGGGAGCTGGGAGTTTCCGCTCAGCGCTCTGCAGGGCTGCTGCCCCGGCAATGGCAGAGCCAAGTGCACACACTAATTGCATTGCAGAATGCTGCCTGGAGGAGGCGCTGGTTCTGGGAATGCCACTCCGGCTCCGCCTTGCTCTGAGTTCACGGGAACTCCAGGTTCAGGAGGGAGGACAGCCCGGGCGGGGGGTGGGCACGAAGCCACGCCAGCCCCCCAGATTTGTTATACGGCTCTTTTGCCACGCACACAGCCCTTCCCATCCTGCCGAGCAAGGATGAGCGCATGTGCTCCGAGGCACCAGCCCCTCCTTTCCTTGACTCTGATCTGGAGCCAACCCGCTCGGCCGGGGCCCGTCACCCCACGGGGAGCTCGGACGCCCCAGCGCCAGAGGTTCTGTCTCCGCCCGCGTTAGCGGCTCACAAACTGCAGGTTGATGTCCTTCTCGGGCACCAGGAGGGTGCGGGTCATGGGCCTGACCGGGCCCTGCTCCGGCTCCGGCTTCACCTCAAAGTGCATCAGGATCTGCCAGGAGAGAGGAGGGCGGGTTAGCACCAGTCGCGCCAAGGCTGGCGGGAGGGGAGGGGAGTATGCAGTGGGCCCGGTAGGAGTGCACTGGGGGTTGGGGGAGAGGGAGCAATTGGCCTGGTAGGAATACAGTGGGGGAGGGGGGCTATGGGCCTGGTTCCCATGCAGTGGCGGAGGGGGCTATGGGGCTGATACCGATGCAATGAAGGGGGATATGGGGGGCTGGTACCAGTGCAGTGGGAGAGGAGGGCTATGGGGCTGGTACCAATGCGGTGGAAGAGGGGGACTACGGGGCTGGTACCAATGCGGTGGGAGAGGGGCCTATGGGTGGCTGATACCAATACAGCGGGGGGCGGGGGGGTCTATGGGTGGCTGGTACCAATGCAGTGGGAGAGGGGGGGCTATGGGGCTGGTATCGATGCAGTGTGGGGGATGCAGTTTAACAGGAATTAGGAGCCCCCCCCCAGCCCCGGGAACCACGTTTTGCCACCGCGACGCTCAGGGGCAGCTCGGCTCCGGCACTCACCCGGGCCAGTGCCAGGTGCACCTCCAGCTCCGCGATGCGCCTCCCGATGCAGCTGCGCTTGCCGACGCCGAAGGGGATGGAGGCGTAGGGGTGGTGCGAGGCGTCCTTCTGCAGCCAGCGCTCCGGCTTGAAGGAGTCGGGCTCGGGGAAGAAGCGGGCGTCCCGGGAGGTGGCGTAGTGGCACAGCGTGATCAGGGTCTGCAAGTGGGGGCAGAGAGGGAGAGGCTGCAGGGTGAGACATGGGTACGGGCACCATGCCACGCGAGCAGGGTGGGGGGAGATACCCCCACCCCAAAGAGAAATCCCCTCAGCTACACACTGCCTCCCGCTAAGGCAACCGGGGGGTGGCCAGTCACAGCTGGGGAGGAGATGCCCCCGCTTCCAGGTCAGCCCCCCTCCCACTCCCTTCCCCATCCCGTTAGCTAGGCAGTTAGCTCCACTCACCTTCCTGGGGATGAGATATTCTCCCACTTGGATGTCTCGGTCTGAGATGACACGGGCATTGCTGGGGATCACCGGGTACAACCTGCCGGGGGAGAAGGGGACATGGCCACACGTGAGTCACAGGAGCCGTGATCCAGCCTCATGCTGCAGCCGGCCGGCTGTGGGTTCGAGCCCCGCACCCAGCCTTGGGCTCATCCCAGCAGTGGGACACTGGGCAGCTGCTTCATCCCCACTCCAGGCACTAGCCTCCCAGCTCTGGGGGCTGAGCTCCACGGGGGATGGATGAACCCTGGGATCCCAGTACCCCAGGCGGCCTGCAAGCTCCCAGCAGACGCACCATGTCCCCCCACAGCCCTTGTGCAGCAGGCACCCAGCTGGCTTCCCTGGGTGAGAGAGCAGAGCCAGCCCTGTTTGACCCACCTCCTAGCAGCGCTCACCTCAACGCTTCCTTCACCACCGCCTTCAGCAGGGGCATCTGGGCCACGTCTGCGGCCGACGGGACGGCGCCGCCTTTCATCACCCCGGTGATCTCCTCGTGCAGCGCCGCCTGGACCCGGGGGTGACGGGACAGCTCATACAGGCTCCAGGACAGGGTGCTGGAGATCTGCAGGGTAGAGGAGAAAGGGAGGGTTAGGAAGAGGCTGGATCCCTGCTATCGGTGCCGGAGGGAAAACGGGGCATCCCCGGCCGGGCTCCAGCTATACTCTGGGCGCCGGAATCAGTTCCATGCAGCCGCCACGGCCCCATTCGATCCCCGAGGAGGGCTGCCGCTAAGCAGAACTCCTAGCAGCAGAGTTCTCCTAGCAGCAATCCTCCTTTGCCTTCCTGCTCCGACTGCCCCGAGCCAGACGTTCCCGCGGCACTTACCGTGTCCACCCCGGCCAGCAGCAGCTCGGTCACGTTGCCGTAGATGGATTTCATGGAGAGCTTCTCCTGGGCGAGGTAGTAAGTGAGGTATTTGCCTTCCACCGTCTCCCCCCGCGAGACTTTCTCTGCCACCTCGGTCATTCGCTTGTCGATGTGGCCCTTGGCTGGAAGAGAATGGACACAGGTCAGCCCCACAGCCTGGACTCGAGAGCTTCCCCCCACTTCCCCAGCTTTCCAACAGAGCCAGCTCTAGGCAGGATTTCTTCAGAGGAACCCAAGGGATTCCGGTGCCCAAAGCCCACCAAAATTGAACGGTGGGCCTCTAGTTCCCAGAGGCGTTTTTGAAAGTCCCCAAGTCTTAACTGCCCCCTGTTCAACCGCGGTTTATCGGTGGCGGTGTTAATTTTCCGGTTTAGTTGCTAATGCTAATACCCTGAGCAACGACTGATTTGCTGCAGGGAGTGGAATCTCTTTCCAGTTGCCCCCGATCTTTCCTCCAGATCTCCTGCCCCAGGGAAACGAACCTGAAGTTCCAGCAGGGAGTCGGGCCCGGGCCTGCGCACACACCCACCTAAGCAGCCAACCCAGACTGCCCGGCTCCAGCACACTCACCAAAAGCGAACATGTAGTCCCAAGACTCGCAGAAGATCTTCCAGGGCTTGGGGAAGACGCGGTGGAGGAACTTGGGCATGGCCATGGTGAGGAGGGTCATGACGAACATGCGGTTGATGGAGCGGATGAAGGTCTCCGTCTCCTTGGGCACCTCGGGCTCCAGGCAGCCGATGCGGGATTCGAAGAGCACGGAGGAGATGCCTAAGGAAATGAACCCGGAGAAAGTCAGAGACATGAGGCCTTGCGGGGGGGAGGTGTTTGGGGCGTGGGGGGGGGAGGGTCCCTCAGGCAGATCTGTCTCCAATCTCTGCGCAGAACGTGCCTCTCCCTTCCCAGGGGCCCTGACCCACCCCCGGCGCCGTCCCAGACATGCACCTTCCAGGCCGAATTTGTAGAACTCGCCCGCCACGTCCTTGACCACGTGCTGCTGGTGGCGGCTCCGCTGGTGCTGCAGCCGGCGGATGAGGTCGCTGACCACGCCGTTCAGGGTCCCCGTGTACGACTCCACCTCCTTGGGCTTCAGCATGTGTTTGCCCAGGATGCTGCGAATCTTCTGCCACTCCTCGCCTTCTCTGGTAGGGCCAGAGAGACCCGGTTAGCCCCCAGGAAAGCAGGGTTCAAGTGCCAGTCTGCCCACGCCACCCCTGGGCTAATCTCTGCCGCCCCCTAGAGGCAGCGCCCCCCTAAGCCAGGGATGAGGCGCACTCCCTGGGCCACGGGATGGGGGAGGGGGGAAGCTTGCTCTGACGTGATGCACCCACTACTCAGTTCCCACGGAGGTCAAGCCGGCCCCGAGCCCATCTGCAGGAGCCCAGCGGCCAGCAGTGTTGGGAAAGCGGCTCCCTTGGCTAGCCCACGGGCCTGCACGCCCTCTGCCAGTTACTCACACCCTGCGCCTCTGCTCTGAGTGAGCCGGCCCCGCTGATGAGAAACCCAGGAACCTGAGTCACACCGCTGACTCACGGCCCAACACAATCCTCTCGCCCAACTCATGCCTCTGCCTGGGCTTGCGCAAAGCCTTCTTAGCTCATGGGGGATGGCCTTCCGGGCCGGGTCCCGTGGAGACAGCATCAGGCCCCGGGGACGGGGGAGCACTTCCCCCGGCCCAGAGGGAGCCGGATCCCGCTTGGCACAGAGCCACCAAGGGAAGAGTCGGCAAATGTGCTAGATGGACCCCCCTCCAGGAGAGGAGGTGACCCCCACAATCTCCCCATTTCGGGGTCTTTCTTGGCTCCTTTCCCACCAGGCACTGGCAGGTGAGCAGCAGACAGAGAGACGTCTGTTTTTCTGCTAAACTCCACTTTGTTTGGTTCCTGCCCCCTCCCTCGCCTCTTGTCCTGCCTGACGCCTGCAATGGGAGGTCTCTGGTTTGCTACTTGTCTGTACAGCACCGGATCCAGGAGTGGGGCTCCTAGGTGCTACCCAGAACGCAGATATTTGAGGGGGGGGGATTTTCAGGGAGTCAAGTGACGGTCAATGGGATTTGAGCCGCTAACTCCCTTGGGCAAAATCCAAGCCTTAAATATCAGCGTATTTTGCAGCGGATCATCGCGTTGCCTGGTGTCTCCAGGACCCGGTGGGTCCTAGGATGTTTCCCGCAGCCTCCCCACCCAGCGTGACCCTCGCGCCCGCGTCGGAGGGCGGCGGGGTCGCCAACTTACGCCGTGAGCAGCCCGTACGCGTGGCCCCGGCACACCCGGTAGTCCTTCCAGGAGGACAGGTCGGAGCGGATGGGGTGCTTGCCCTCTTGCCTCAGCACCTGCTCGATCAGGCTGGGCTCCGCGACGTGGACGGTCAGGATCGGCCCGAAGCTGGCTTTCCACACCGGCCCGTATTTGGCTTTTCCTTCGATCTAGGAGGGAAGAGGAGACAATCCGTCAAGCGGGCCCTGAGAGGCGTCGGTGGCACTAGGCCAGCCACCCCTCCCCATCTCACTTTGACCCCAATTGGTCAGCTCCTTCGCTGGGTTCTCATCACCAGCTGGAGCGGGCACGGAACCCAAAGGCAGAGCTGGTTAGAACCAGGCAGGGTGGTTACAGGTCAGCAACGAGAACATGTGGGCGCTTTAAGGGCAGGGGGGACAGAGCCATGAGACAATGGTGCATTATAGGGATCTATTCCCCTGCCACCTGCAGCCTCCACACCCAGCTCCATCCTGCACCCCCTCCTGCTAGCCTCTGGGTTGGATCATTCCCTGGCTGCCAGCAGAGACGAATTGCAACGGACTCCTATGAAACCACATTGTGTTTCTCTGCAGCCGGCAGCAGCTCAACCCGGGCTTCCAGGGATCGGGATCTTACAGGAACGTCTGGGCAGACGTGGTCAGAAATCGAGCCCGGAGAGGGTCAATGATCTCCCAGCTAGATTCTGCCCTGCAAGAGCCCCCGTTATTCAGAGCTCTCCTTCCCCTCCAGCCTCAGATTCGTTCCCCTGAGCCCGCAGGGCAGAGAGAGAAAGTCGAGAGAGAAACAATGCCGGGTTTGCTAGGAACGTACTCAGGGCTGGATGCAGTCAGCGCAGGAAATCGAGGCTAGTTTGTGCCTCCACCCAGGAAGGGGGTTGTGTTACATGGGGTTAAAAACACCAAACCCTAGTTCCCCCACAGGCGGTTTCTATTGCTATCTGTTCAACTTCCCCAACTGCACCAGGAGACCGTTGGGCAAACCAAGAGCGGCCGCGAAGCCAGCGTGCTCTTGTCCCTTTAAACATCTGGATTTGCAGATATGCCGTGCGGGGTTCAGAGGCAGCTGGAACACCTGCCTAGTACTAAATCGATGCTCTGCTGAAGCCAGTCGCTCCATTCTGACCCTCTGTTTTCCACTCCTTTATTGGCCAATTTAGCTTTCGGGTTCAGGCACTACATGGATTTCGCCGCCTCTTACTGCTTTGGGGTTATGAGCTGGGGTGAAGGGAAGACTAAATATCTCTAGGCTCTAAAAGAAATGGGTTTTGTTCGGTGTTGCACATGGATAACTCAAAGACCGCGGCTTTCCCGTGTATCATTCACCATGTGGCTCATCCCGAGAGGGGGATATTCATTTAGCTAAGTTTGGAAGTGGTTGAAAATTAGCCGCAGTGGCTCGTTGGATTACCATTACTTTTTAAAACCCGTAGATGGCTGCACGCAAGTTTGCAGAGCCACGCAAGCAGGAGACGTGCGGCCGCAGAGAGGCGAAAGAATGCAAGATTTGCTTTATCCGTTTAAAAATTGTTCCCACCGTGGTGCGTATTCACAATTGTGGGCAACTTTATGAACGGATCCCAAGAAAGCACTGATTTCGACAGGGATTTTACTCAGACGGTCTGGGACTGAATAGCACAAATTCGCTCCGTGAATAAAGTTGACCCAACGGTATTTCCCCCCGTTTTTGGTTTTTTTCCCTTTCATATAAAAAAAGAGTTAAGTACCCCCCCAAAAAATCCTCCACCGCCAAGAATGTAAAACACACACGGGTCAGAAAATTGATACGACGGATCTCCAGGTTAGCCCTGCTATATTGCACATCCTGAGGGTCTTTTAAAAAGCACAGAAAATAAAGTTCGCCTACTGTATGCTCCCCTTTACGTATCAAAGCCACTATTAAAGGGTGCAATTCAGTTACACTGCAAATGCAATTCACTGTTTCCGCAGCCCAGTGGGTAAAAGTTGTGTGGCTCAGAATCGGTGTCAATGTGCACAGGGTTAAACTAACACGTGAACGGGTTGATTCCAGGTAAACCTATGTTACGTCAATCGATTTTTGCAAGCCGGTGGGGACATATATGGGGTAAAGCATGACTTCATGTACACCTTAATTTCTGTACACCTCTGTACATCTATTGTTTCCCTCACTGCAAGTCACACATTGAAACGACATAGACAAGTAACCAAAAATACATCTGTACATATTAATGGGGACTTCCACCTTTGAATGTCCTGACTCTGGAGATATTTAAGAGTAGGTTAGATAAATGTCTATCAGGGATGGTCTAGACAGTATTTGGTCCTGCCATGCGGGCAGGGGACTGGACTCGATGACTTCTCGAGGTCCCTTCCAGTCCTAGCATCTATGAATCTATGACTCTCAAGTGTTCAGGCTGGGATTTATAAACAGGGCTGGAATTTCAATGAATGTTGAGCCTCCAACTCCCATTGACTTAGTTGAAAACCCTGGCTAGAACATTTTTGTTATTAAATGCCCAGCAATGTCTGTGGTGACACTGACGGGAAATTCTCCAGTGGAATCTGGTAGATTCCAGGCCCATTGGGAAATCTGGTCCTAAATCCTAACCCCTATATGATGATGTTCGCTAAAGCTCGGTAATTCCACGCACCCCATACATTAGTAGACCCTTTACAACCTCAACTAGTCTGATGCAGAAAGTAAGACGTCGTGTGCCAAGCAGCAAGGTGGGAAAGACACCACAGAGGCAAGGTCCTTACCTGTAGCTCGTGCAGCCTGGCCAGCCCTCTTTTGCAGAAGAGATCCGTGAAGAAGCCCAGTGCACTGGGTCCTGGCATGTCCTCCAGGGTCTTGTGGGTCTTGATCACTCTGGCTGGTGCCTTGAAGCCGAGCTCAGCCCAGATCTCTGGGAAGCCCCTGGTGAGCAGGGAAGCCCTGCTGGCCAGCTTGAGGGTCTGAGGCATCCTGGCTCAGGGCAGCTGGAAAGTGGATGGAGGAAGAAAGCTGAGGAGCAGATGAAGTCCTGGAGCATCTTTCTGGGTTTATTTATAATGGGACACATGGAGCCAGGGAGGCCACGCCCCCTGCATCCTCGTCCCCGCCCTCCCTGACGTGCGTCAGTGTCCTCTTCGTTTACATAGGAGCCCAGGCTGCCCAATCAGAACGCGGGGTGGGCTCGGTTGGGAAAGCGGGTGCCCGAAGCGAGCCGGCTGCTCGCCACGTGGGTTTCCGGCGAAGGGGCAGATGCATCTGGAAGGGGGGGGGGGAGATGGGCCCCGGGATGGTACGGGAGGGCAGAGGTGGGTATCTGGGGGTGGGTACCTCAGGAGGGGAGAGATGGGCAGGGGAGATAGGTACCTGGGGGGCAGAGAGGAGTATCTGGGGGTAATAGGTACCTGGGGGGCCGAAGGAGGTACCTGGGGGTAATAGGTACCTGGGGGGCAGAGAGGAGTACCTGGGGTAATAGGTACCTGAGGGGCAGAGAGGGATACCTGGGGGTAATAGGTACCTGGGGGCAGAGGGGGTACCTGGGGTAATAGGTACCTTGGGGGCAGAGAGGGTACCTGGGGGTACTAGGTACCTGGGGCAGAGGGGGTACCTGGGGTAATAGGTACCTGGGGGGCAGAGGGAATACCTGGGGGAAATAGATCCATCAAGGAGTGTTATGGGCACCTGGGGGAGATGGCAAAGATGGGTACATACAGAGGGTGAGAGATGGGCTCCTGGAGGGAAAGGAGATGGGCAGAAATGGGCACCCAGGGTGGGGAGGAGAGATGGGCACAGAGGGAGACGGGGCATATGGCGTGGGGAGGGAGAGATGGGCCACTGGCACGAGGACCTTCCCACTGCTAGGGAAGAGCCCCAAGGGTAAATAAGGAGTAAACTTTTAACAGTGAGAGAAGTTAACGATTGGAACCATTTGCCCAGGGTCGCGGTGGATTCTCCATCGTGGACAATTCTTTTCAGTCAAGATCAGCTATTCTTCTAATAGAGCCACCCTAGGAATTATTTGGGGGGCAGGTCTTTGGCCTGGCCTATCCAGGGGGTCAGATAAGATGATCGCACCAGGCCTTGGAATTTAGGAATCTATGAATGAAAGTGAACAGGACGCAGGGCCGGGGCAAGCGGGTGACGTGCAAAGCGGCAAGCTCCAGGGGGCCTGCAAGGCTGGGGGTTAAAAGGCAGAGGGAGAGGCCGGTTCATTCACACTGGTTCAGTGACTGGGGGGGGGGGGGCTGCTTTCATAACAGGGCAGAGGGAAAAGTCCCGTCCCCCCCGCCCATCCCCAAGGGCTCAGACCAGTGAACCGAGCCCATGAATGACTTCAAGGCACAAACAGGGGCGGGAGTGTTTTACCTTTGTTACGGTTGTGATGCTCTGCTCCCCAGGCTCCATGGGGAAGGGAGAGAGCAGCAGCTCCTCCAATAAGGAGCTGCACCCCACAAAAAAGTGGGTACAAAATGTGGGGGGAGTCTGCCCCAAGGCAGGGGATTCACTTCTTTCACTCCATTTCCCACAGAGGCTGACCAGGGCCTGAACAGCCGTGCATGTGTGTGTGTGTATGTGCATGTGTGTGTGTGCACGCATGTGTGCATGCACGCATGTGCAGTTTCCCATGTACACATGTGCATGCATGTGCATGTGAGTGTGTGTGTGCACTCACACTTTCCCAAGGTGCACTTTGGAAGCGGGGCTGCGCCGTAGACTGGAAGCTCTCTGGGGTAGGAAGCATCTTTTTTTTTCTGTGTCTGTTGTACAGCGCCTGGCACAACCGGGACCTGGTCCATGAATGAGGCGATGGGGGTTCAGTTATACAGAGCCCAGGAATGTTCCCAGCCAGAGGACACCTGCCTCTGTGACTTAGTCAAAGGCCAAGGGGACAGCCTGTTGGAAAAGGGGGCTCGACCCCTTTGTTGTTCTGTGCCAGCAGCACATCGAGATTTCCCCATGGCTCCAGCTGCCATTCCACTGTCAGGAAGTGAGGGGAGTTGGGCAAATAACAGGGAGGATGATATTAAAACTCAGGAACACACACACCTCCTTTAGATCTCAGGAAGCAGGATGCCCGGGGCTGGGATGGGTTGTTGCTTGATCCTGGATCGGTGCCCTTCAGCAATAACATGACCATCACAATCAGAGGGGATGTGACCCATGGTGAGGACTCATCCCACCAAGTTATTAGACCCCGGGGGGGGGGGGGGACTGAGATCTGGAGCGGCATCTAGAATACTTAGGGCTAGTATCTGCTCTGGCCACAACAGCAGCTCTGCCCGGTTGGGAGCAGCGACTGGCTAGGCCAATGTAAAACCCAGCTGGGCCAACCAGCCTGACACTTAACTCTGTGCCATCCGTTTGCCATCAGGCTCTTCCCTTCACAGCATGACATGCACGGACGTTGGTCATGACCTGTTGGACGGGGACCCCAGGGGCAGAGATCACACCTAGCAGCTGTGCAGATGAGCTGAACTAATTAAGAGCTGAGCTTGTCTTTCTATTCAGTTGTGTTCTGGGCATGTCTGGCACTGACGACAGCAACGGCTGGCGCATGAGTGGCAGAGGAAGCCGGTGTGCGAGAAATAACTGCTCAGGGAAGACATCAGGTCGCGGCTTGTCCGTCTATTCCCCCATCCCCAGCCATGGCAGAACCTACAAGCCCCAATGGTTCTAGGTGCCCAACAAACGGCTAAAGAGACAGTCCCTTCCCTGAAGAGCTCTCAGTCAGAATAGGAAAAGACGGGCAAAGGGAAGTAGGCACAGAGAGGAAACGTGAGTTGGTCAAGGTCATGCCGCAGGCCAGCGGCGGAGCTGGGAAGACAAGCTGGCGTCTTTTGCTGCCCAGTCCTGTGCTTGCGGCCACTAGACCACACTGCCATAACTGTCCAAGCCCCTCTTCCCCTGTGAGGCGCATACATCAGCTGGTGGGTAGCCGAGTCCTGTGATCTTTGCTCATTTCCACCCCCTGACTCCTAGTTGTCTGTCCAAAAGGAGAGGTGGTAGGAACATCTGCTCTTCACCGTGGAGCAGGAGGCAAACCAGTCTCCTCTCTTACACCACGACTGAAGAGGAGCCTGCCTGCGAACAGTGACAGGCGGCCAGATCTAATCGCACAGGGCACAGATCAGTGGGAACTCCGTTGACATCCTCTGGGCTGTGCCCGTTGGAGAGCAGAATCCAGCCCCAAACAGGCTGTCAAGGAGACCCCCGCGTATTTAGGCAGCCTACGATCCACGCAGCCGTGAGTAACCCAGAGCTGATCGCAGATCGTGCAGCGCCAGGAGGTCATGACTTGAGTTTGCCGGCTGGGTTTCTCCAGATGTTCCATTTCCCCCCTCCCCTCCGTACGATGCACAGTGGAAGTTGCAAACCACAACAAAAGCAATTCATTCTAGAACGCTTGCCACAGCTGGGAGCCCAGCTTGGCTGAGGACTTACATCTGGTGGGACAGGACATGACAGCTAGGGTGGGATTAAGGCCAAGGTGCTATAAACCAGGGCCGACGGCATGGAGTCACGTGACGCGATCAGAAGCTCAGCTCTCGTTTAAAAAGAAAAATCAGGTTTCTGGCCCTCACGGAAGCAAAAGAAAAGCTCAAAAGCCTGATCCAAGGGCAACTGATGCCTGCCTGAGAGCTTGTCTAGACAAGAAAGGTTACAACTGCATAGCTGCAGCACTTCAGTGTAGACAGGCCTAGGTAATCCACCTCCCCGAGAGGTGACAGCGAGATCAACAGAAGAATTCTTCCCTCAACCTAGCGCTGTCTACACAGGGACTTAGGTTGGTTTAACTATGCCACTCAGGAGTGTGGATTTTTCACACCCCTGAGTGATGTGGTAATGCCGACCTAATTTTCTAGTGTAGCAGGCTCCATAAACAGGCACCTCTTGCTTGCCTGAGTCTGCAGAGAGCCTGAAACAATAGCTCCAGGAAGTGTGAATTGCCCCACTTGTCTTAATACTGAAACCCACCGCCATAAAGAGGGGTACAACCACAGCTTGGGGGCAGGGCTCTGAGGGACTCCATGAAGGAGGTGGCTAGGGCCCCAGAGTGCCTTAATTTGACCCTGACGGCAGGTCCTTGGCCCAAGGGCAACAGGGACCAAAGCAACAACTGCAAAAAGGCCAATAAAAGTCACTCCTGTCTCTGCTTCTCTGTGGCACGGTGAAAGAGTCCAGAGCTCAGGTTACTGTTGAACAGCCGGTTAGCGTGAGGAAGCACATTGTTTTGAGGCCGGACTAGCAAGAAGTCAGGGCCGCCGTTCAGCTCTGCAAACAGCAAACCCAGCATTATGGATTTAAATGGCAAAGCATCCACCTGGTGAGGGTCCAGTGCTCTGGGCCCCGATTCTCCCCTGGCGGAGTCGTTTCCATCAATGCAAAGTGTGGGTGTGGGAGGAAGATCATGGTTTGTCCAACAGGAAGAGCTATTGTGCTTTACATTCACACCTCCCTTAATCTGAGTCCACTTTCCAGTGTAGACGCCGCTAAACCAGAATGAGAAAAACCCTTTTGCAGGGGTGTCCAAGCTACAGTGGAGAATCTGGCCTTTTGTAACTAGCTACAGGCTTCGTTATATGGCCAGTGATGTTGGGAGCCCAACTTGCCAGCCATTGGCCTGATTTCCCAAAGGGTTAACCCCCCGGCTCCAACAAGTTGCCTCTTCCCACAGCGCTGACTTAGTGACCAACCAGTCCACCGCGCCCCCAAACGCCGACAGCGACAATCTCCCAGCGCGCTGGCTCAGCGGCATGGCGCTACACGTGTTTCGCGTCTCCGCTCCGAGCCGGGCCCATCTCTCTTCAAGGCTGCATTCCCCTTCCTCCCCCCCTGTTCAAAGCCAGGAAAATGCATTTGAAACCACAGCCCAGAGCGAGCGGCCCAAGGCCACTTGACATGAGGAGGCGAGGGGAGCTGTGCTGAACCGAGCCCAGACAGCGAGTCCCTCTCACCGCACCCGCATTCTCCCCAGGACAATAGAAAGTATTTCTACTCGCTGTTCCATTACTGGTGCTCGCAG